AACTGTAGCAATGTGCACAAAAGTAAAGATTTGGAATTATTCATTTTGGAGGAATCAGATTTGCAGAAATGGCTGAATCGACTTCTTCAATTAGATAAAAAACAATATCTAGATTTATTGCTGATTGGAAAAATGAACTTGCGACTTATGGATCTGATGGCTAGAAAAAAAAGATAAAAAGAATAATAGAATAGAATAGAATAATTTTGTATTTTTATTTATATTTGCTGTAAAAAATGGAAGTTACTTCTATTTCTCTTTTTGTACTTCTGACTTTTTCTTTGTTGTTTGTTCTAAATTTGTGTTCATTTTATTTTTGTTTAAAATTCTTAATAGAAAGTTTTAGTACATTTTAGGATTTTACGAGCACATATAGGCAATACTCTATCTTTTCCTTATTCAGAGAGGTTCCAGGAATCCAGTCTACTCATTGGTTCCTCACTGGTTTGGCTTTTGCAGATCTACCTTCAGTTCACTAATTTATCCTGGGAGGTTCAGATGTAGAGTCTGCATTGTCTGTATTGGCAATTAATAAAGCATTCACTTTCAAATATGTGCTAATCTATCTCCTACATTGTGTTAACTGAATAAAAATACAGGAATAGTTTGCTGTTGCCTTGCTCTGGGGTAGATATTAAAAGTTTGTCTTTAAATGGGATAGCTACCCTCATACCTGCAGAATCCTATTTTAACTTTCACACCCACCAAAACTTGCTCTTTATTTTCCTACTCTCTTTTCTACCTTATCAGCATGGGTAGGTCTACCATTAACTTGTATTCCCAGCAGGATTAATGGAGTACTATGCTACACTCATGTAAAAATGGGAATTCTCTGGGTGGGAATTCTGAGACATAAAACCACATCAATGTTTTTCTGGAGATGCAGTATTCAGGAAAGACATGTAAAGACAAAGCCTATTTTTTTTTTTGAATAATTCAGGAATTATATTACAATCATGGTTATTTTTCTTCCACTTACACTGTTTTTACAGTACAGAATTGAAGAATGAGAATAATCCTCCAGTCAGGAAAAATGTAAAAGACAATTAGTTCAGCCAACTGACTTGCAAAAAAAATGAAGGCAGTGAGAAGCCATTTTTATATTATGCTAAGAAAATACTTGGATGTGTCCATGTGAGTCATCGGGTGGATGAATTAAAAGTGAATTATAAGAAGACGGCTATCCAGAAAGATTAGTAAAGTCAAAATGCTATTCAGAACTCCTGAAAAATCCTAAATTTTCTACTATATTGTTACAATTTCATTTTTTTCATCATTATCAATTATTGAAAAATGAACCTGACTTAAAATGAAATTGACTTAATACTTTAACATAACTTGCTTACCTGCCAGGATATAACTTGCTTTTTCAAGATCAAACAAAAAAATCCAACTTTGCAGTATGTGAAACAAGTTATGGTTTAACTTGGTTTATTCCTGAATAATTGCTGCTTTTACAGAATACTAGCAAGCTTTATAGGAAAATTAGAATTTATTTTGTTTCCGTTTTTATTTTGTGTATTTGGGCAATTTACCTGTCTCCAAAATAGACAATTTGAAAATAAAGGGTAAAGTGATTTGTCCTCATTAGCTACGTATAAAACGCTTTTTTATGATAGGTAAAACTGGATAATAGATTATGTACTCTTAGATATATAGTTTGATTTTTGGTCAAGCCTATAAGCAAGTAGCTGATTTTCAAAGAAATTATATCTAATTGGCCTACTTTGTGTATTACCAAATTAGAATAAGATTGTTCAGGTTTTCCAGTTTTATTTTTCCTAGAAAACAGTATCTACTTTTGACAATTGATAATCTGTTGCTTCCTAAAAATAAATAAATAAATATATTAAAACATTATGTGCTTTTCCTGTTCCAGGGAGACAGCGGTGGTCCTCTGACATGCTACTTTCCAACCACTACAAAGTTTTATTTGATAGGAATTACCAGCTTTGGTTATGGTTGTGGTCGCCCAAGATATCCAGGAGTTTATGTTAGGACAATTAATTATATAAATTGGATAAACAAGTATTTAAAGAGTAAAATTGTAACCGTGGAACTTCATTGCCTCTTCATCTTTTTAATTGTGTGGTGGACAGTCTTCCATATTCTGTAAAATGGCAGCTTCCTTCAATTTTATGCAGTAAACTTGTATTGCTCTTTAAATGTTTTTGATTCTTGGGAACAGTATCATTATCAACATTTGCTTTTTAAAAATGTCCATACAATGTAATTCTGCCTTGCATCATATTTACATTCAAATAATGATCTGTAAGTTTAATGATAATGATCTTTCCAAACACACCAAAATATGAAAATGAAGTCAGTTCTTAAATAAATAATAGCAATCATATACATGATTAGAGAATTTCAAACAAATCTACCCTATATATTTCTCACTTTGAAGGATAAATTATGTTTTTTAAAAGATACTAGATAATTAAGAATATTTTCAAATAAAGTATTTTGAAATTATTTGAATACTCTATTGTATTTTTTATACTCTAAACTAGAATATTTCTTTGGAAAAAAATCATGAAGATGTAAAACTGAATTTTTTTAGGCATGAATCTTCTCAAACACATAATTTTAGCTTTGTATCTGAAATATGAAAAAGTGTGATCAATAACTGCTGTCCGTTTATTTTGCAAGGTAAATTTTCTATATTTCCTTCTAGCAACTTTATAAATGATTCAAATATATGCAATAAAATATAAATATTCTATATACAAAGAGCCCCTCTGAGGCAGATGGGTGGTTTAAAAATATGAAATATAAATAATAAATATGTATAAATTATAAAATGGGTGCAATCTAAAGCCTTAAACATCGTCTTCTTGAGCACAGCAATGTAATTTTTTGGCAAAATAATAAACAAACTTACTGATATGTGGAATCATCATCAATTTTCCAAATAATTGAAATGGTACCTGGAGATCAGATACCAGAGAAATTATGTGAAGGGACGAGAAGACAGCTCTCTTAAATGTATTTCATAAGTTGATGCAGGATTGTGATCTTAACCTAACAATTGATACTTTCAGTCCCAAACATGGGATTTTGCTCTAAATATTACATATAGGAAAAACAATGTATAGGAGGCTAAACAAATGGAAAAAACTGAGTAAAGGGGGAGAGAGTGAAAAACTAATAATCCAAAGAAAGAGAAAGTGAAAATATTTAAGTCACACTTTGCTATGTTTTAAGGCACATTTTGACTTTATCAATATATTGCATGTTATGTGCCTTCTAGCTGGTGGGATATGGACAAATTTATCTTGGCTTGCAGAATAGGTTTTGGACCTCTACTAGCTTGCAAAAACAATGTGAGCATGCATGGGATAAAATTGGAGTGGCCGTGGGCTCAAGCGTTCTTTCCTGTTAATATTAACTAGAAACTTATTTAAGGAGGAGGGAAAATAGTGAAACACTCCTTTGTCTAACCCTTGTAAGTAATCCAAAAGGATATAATTGAAAGTAGCTATGGTTAAGAGTGTCTGTTCATGTTGTTATGATATTATGAATTAAATATATCAAGAGAAACGAGTTGAATGCAGTAGAAAGGCATTTCAGAAGTGTGTGGTAAACAATAGGAATGAATTGTTCTCCCAGAAGGCTGCGGAGTGGGTCAGGAGTGGGGATGATCCAGTTGGTCTGGCCAGTCCAATCCATTTAATCTATCTATGTCTAGCACCAATAGCTCATTAAGTCAGTTTTATATATAAAAACCTTGCTTTTATCAGAGCTTGGCTCAATGTGATCTAAAAATAACTTAAGAGTCCCTGCAGGACCTGATGTCCAAGAACCCTTCATTAGAAGAGATTACCATCAATAGCCTGTCAGAGCAATTTCAAATAACAAATCTTAGTCTTCCATTTGTTATCTGGAACTTGAGTTCATTATCAACCTTTTAAAAGGTGATTTTAACATTGCAGTCTAGGCCTCTTCTAACTTCAGAAAAAGATGTTCTTTTTTTTCTTAGCCAAGGCTATTTCTTTTGGTATAGGTACAGGAAAACTTGTCTTTTCAGCTATAAACAATAGTATATTCTCAAAGTCCTTGAACACCTTTTCAGAAAGTACTTTGAAAAAGGAAGTCATTATGCAATCCATAAATTTGCCACTTGTGGAATGTAATCTAGAATCAATGTTTTATTGCTCAAATGTCACAAGTAATCAATGTCTTTCATTGTTTTATTGCTTGCTTTCTGAAATATCAAATACACTGAATGTATAGTTTCTTCCTGTACCTTATACAAACATTTGACTCTCCTCAATAAATGCTTTTTGCTGTGTCTTAATTACTGTTTCCTAATTTTAGGCAGCATTTGTGCAACAGTAAATGTTTCCCTCTCAAATTCTGGGATCAAATTCTTACCATCTTCACACCAAACTCGGAGTGCCAAAATTTCGTGGCAACACATGGTTTAACATTTTTACCTGTCATACCATTCAAGCAACCAGTATCTGTTTTGCATCCAAAGGATCGTGATTTGCATGGGAGTCGTTCCCTTTAGCTCGTCTTTACTAGGAAATATACTTTGGGAAGGGGGGGGGAATCTTGAACGGAATGAGTCCCTCTTATATGGGACCCGAATATATTTTCTCTTGATAATATATCGGCAATGTTTTCTTCTGCTCCTCTCTAAGATGGTCGTGACAAGTATAAGTCACTCATTGCTGTATTAAGAAGTGGCAATGTTCCCGTCAGTCGGACAACATCGAAGGGCATCAAAGAGGCTTTAAGAGCTGTTTTTATATTTAGTTATTAAATGTTTTATTTATGTATTAAATTTATTTGCCGCCCATCTCGCCACAAGGTTTTTCTGTGTCCCCCATTACTTTGGAAGGTAAGCAGGTGGTGTCTGCCAGTCAGGATGAGAGTAGCCAAAGGGGCCCATATGGTGATGAGGTGGGCCCGAGAGTCCCCCGATTCAGCCAGCGGTTATTTTAGTCGGGTGGGTTCAATGACCGCTTGAAAGCAAGTCCTGTGGCTGTGCCTCGATTTGCGCCAGGGCAACGCCTTCGCGAGTGGGTTCCCCGCGAGGCTCACGAGGAGAACCGTCGTTCTCGCGCCGCTTGTCGCCTGACCCTTAGCGGGCCCCGCCTGAAGGAGAACGCACGCGAAGTCGGCCGCCATTTTGCTCCCTGGACGGACGATGAGCCGCAATTTTTGCCCCGTCGCCTTTTCCTTTTGGGCTTTGCTTGTGCTGTTCAGGGAAGCCGCGCCCAAAGCCCTGCCCCCCATGAATCTTTCCGACGGTGAGCCTTGGCCTCGCCCCGTCCTCGCAGGCCCTCGAGTTCGGCCGTTGACTGCCAACGTGTTGCTCAGGACTGGGTAGCCCAATAGATCGAGGTTGAGGGGGGGGGGGACACTGTCACCAGAGCGCGCGGGGATCCTTCGCCGAGGGCGCGCAAGGGCCAAGGCCGTTGTCGGAAACGTCTCCTCGGCGGGAGAGGTTGCGAGCGTTCCCGAAAAGGGGGCTTCCCCCGGGCTACCCTCCTGCTATTTTTGCGACAGTGGCGGCTTTCGAAAGGCCCATCGACGTTTGCATAAATAGGGGCGAAAGTGGGGGTTGCCTCAGGCCTTCGCTCTCGGTGATTAGTCCGCGAGGATGTCTGCGCAAAGTTGCGTTCCGACAATGCGGAGGTTTCCTTCCCTACGAACTTTCTCGACGGTACAGCAATTAGGTCGTGGGCGTGTGAACCTCTCCTCCTTTAACTTTTGAAGTGAGCAAGAGTTACTAGGCGTGGATGCTGCCGTTTCCACAATTGTCGATGCGTTTCATTGAGATCCAGTCCCGAATATAAGGGCCCAGCTGTTTTCCCAGTTACTTTCTTTATCTCTCGGCCCCCTAAATCTGTTGTTGGTGCTCCTGTAGGAAATTCTGAGAAGCTTCTTTGGCCACATTCAATTTGTTAGTTTTCAGGCTTGAAGGACGTTGATTCATATAATTGCTTTGGACCTATGTCTTATCAGCATTGCAATACAGCTGTTTTTATTATGGAAGAAGTAGTGTTGCTAGTATTGTAGGTTTGACTTTTCACATTAATTGGAGCTGTTGAAAGCAGCTTGGGTTGTCGGTAGCAATTCTAAATAAAAGGGCTGTTACAACTTTTGCCTGGTGTCTAACATATAAAGGCGGAATATAAATAAATACAAATACTCTTATGAGAATCTTGTAAGTATTTCAGATTGGATAAGTCCCTGCAGTTTTCTTGGCAGGATTTTTCAGAAATGGTTTGCCATTGCCTCCTTATTAGGACTGAAAGAAAGTGACTGGCTAAGACCACCCAGTTGACTTTGTGCTCAAGGTGGACTAGAACTCACAGTCTCCCAGTGTCTAGCCTGACACCTTAACTGCTATACCAAAGTGGCTCCCATTCCATTGTTGTTAGATACTGTTTTGCAGCCAAAATAAAAATATGTAGACCAGTATAATGTGGAACTGGGAAGATTTGGAATCAAAACATCACTGATTTACCAATTTCACTGGATAACTTTGTGCAATTTTTTTAGCCTAACAAAATTTTTGTAACGATATTACAAGGGAGTACAATTACTCTATTCTGATCAGCATGTAGAAATAGTATCATGAGATTAAAGTCAATTACTTTCGCAGTTTGTTTTACTGAGGCATCAATTGTGGACTTCCTGTGAGTTTAGAATTAGGCATTTAAACACCTGCAGATGTTTTGGATTACAGCTCCAAATCTCTTTACTGCTGATCCCACTGACTGAAGCAGATCAAAGTATTAGCCAAATTGACTTGAATTTACTGCTGCTTCAATTCAAATGATTAAATTGGACAACTCTTCTAATAATAAAAGCTAGTGGTATTTCAGAATCATTAATCTTCTAACAGTATCTGGTCCAATAACAGCAAATATTTCCTACCCAGATAAATTTTAAAAAGGCTCGTTGGTTATTACTTTATGTATGTTTTAAATGTTGGTATTGATTTTTGAGATATTTTAGAATAACTGAAAATTAACAATATAACTACATTTTGATTTCCAGGATGTGGAGCAAGGCCTGCAATAGTTAACATAACAGCAGAGACTCAGTCTTTAGGTGGACATGTTGCTCAGCTTGGAGCATGGCCATGGCAAGTTAGTCTTCAGATTTATCGTGTTCCATCAGGTCGATATCAGCATGTATGTGGCGGATCTTTAATTAATAACAACTCGGTACTGACAGTAGCACGTTGCATTGAGAAATGGGTGTATGTATCTTTAATTTCTAAATCTTTTTCTGTACAGATTGAAGATTTTAAATAACTGATTGAATTTTGGAATTATATCTGCAAGGAGACATTTGGAAAAAGTGTTTTAGTATATCTTCAGCCTTAACAACACTTGTTCAGTTTTTTTTTATCAAACTAGATAAAATCAAGTTAGATAAAAACTAGATGGTATAGGGGTGGGCTTCAGCAGGGGGTTGGACTACAAGACTTCCTAGGTCCCTTCCAACTCTGTTATTCTGTTAGATTCAGCAGCTTTTAACGCACACAGAACATATTTTAGGAGAGGGCAACAGCTAAAGAATTTCTTTTTTTTTTGCAAAAAGTTTTTTTATTTTTTTCCAAACATACAAATTACATCCTTTCGGAACAGAGCTTTGATCCGGTCATCACTTAGTTCAATTTTTAACAAAATCTTTAACAAAATTTTATCTATTCTATTTTGCCATAGCACTTATTTCTAAATCTTAGATCACATATACAACTAATACCATCTTTAAAAAATTTAACATATATTTACTTAATCAAAACAATAACCCTTCTATTAACCCACCTCAATTCTTAATTCAATTAATAACTCATAATACAACAATTCTTACCCTAAATCCTCACTATTAACAATACAATTCAAACATATTTATGTTTCATTATGCTCATTAAATCTTTATTCCATTATTACTTTATCAAATTTAAAGCTTATCTTTTTAATTTTAGAAATATAGCAATTTAACATTTAAACATAGTTCTTAGTTCAAATAATGCTCTTTAACACAATTTCCCAATTATCCTAAATTCTATCTATCAAACCATACCATTTACCGTATTTTCCGGCATATAAGACGACTTTTTAACACATGAAAATCTTCTCAAAAGTCGGGGGTCGTCTTATATGCCGGGTGTCGTTCTCCTGTAACCAGGCAGACCAGCCCGAAAGGCTCTGACGAGCCTTAAATGGCTCTGACGATCCAAGCTCTGACGATCCCAGCTGAGTTGCCTGCTAATCAGACAACTCAGCTGGGATCGCCAGAGCCATGTAAAAGGAAAAACGTTTTCCCCCTCCAGCTTGCTTACCTTAGCTGCTAGTCGCAATGCTTGCCTCACTTCGCTTGCCTGAATCCATTCCATCAGCAAGCCACTCCCTGCCTGCAATCAAGCAGGCAGGGAGTTGTGGACTTCAACTCCCAGAATTCCTCAGCCAGCAAAACAGCTGGCTGAGGAATTCTGGGAGTTGAAGTCTACAAGTCTTAAAGTTGCCAAGGTTGGAGACCCCTGTTCTGTTGGGTAAGTTTTTTTCCCCTTTGGGAGCTTTAAAAAAAATAGTTAATTGGAGGTTTTTTTAGTTGTTCTTTTTTAGACCTAGCCATTTAAAGTTTAGGAAGTTTTAAATTTAGCTTTCATATAAAAAATAAAATAAAAAAAATAATAATATTTGTGCAGCTTTCTGAGATTTAGTGTGTTTCTATAGTGTTTCACTCTAACTACACAAACACACAAAATTTCACAAAGCTGAATGTGGAATTTTGTGTGTGTAAAGTGTGAAAGTTATTTTTTTGGGCTTTTTGTGGCTGTGTGAGGTTCCTGCTTGTTGCAGGGGCCATTTTGGTTCTAGCACAGCTGCTTTTACATTGTGAGTGAGCCAGTTGTGTTGTGTTGTGTGTGTGTAAAGTGTGATAGTTGTTTTTTGGGGGGCTGTTTGTGGCTGTGTGAGGTTCCTGTGCAACATTATAGTTATTTCTTTTATTTTCATTCTCCAAATCAAATAATTGCTCCAATTATAAAAGTTCCATTGTATTCCCTTCTATTTCTTTTTTTATTCCTCCAAAAGTCAAGCCTCTTGTAGACAAGAAAATCCTCCTTCACAAGTTCCATGGTTATTGTCTGTGAAGTTCACAATTTTCCAAAACAACCAAGTTGCAATGTTCCTTTTTACTCCAGATGGTGTCTCTCTGCAATCCACAATTTCCAATTGCTTAATAAGTATCCATTTTGTTTCCATTACATCATGATCTTACTTGACTTCTCTTTTTTCTTTTTCAATTTAAAAATATCAAATATTTAAAGTCCAGTTCAAATTTAAATAGCTCTTCTCACTTCTTTTTTCTTTTTTCCCCTTTTATTTATACATCCTTTTTTTCTTCTTAAAGCTTATTATCCATTCTTTTTATTTTTCTTGCCATTTAAAAAAGAAAGGGAAAAAAAGGATCTCTTTATTTCTTTCCAATCCTTTGACCATGTCTAATTGTTTAAAGTTTCCAATTAGTTTGTTCAGAAATCAATTTTCAATTGGGTTTTTGTCTTTTCCAAATTACATTTCAAAATCCTCTTTGCCCCCATGCTTCTTAGCTGCTATTAGGAGTCTTATAGTTGTAAGATGTTTCTCTTGTTGTTATTCAAGCCTGAGTTGGCTGTCACTCACCCGGCTTCAAAAAAACTCCATTCCGTTTCTTTCTTATCTCCAGCTCTATACTTAGCCCGGTTGTCGCAGCTTCATGGCAGCCGCCATGGCTGCCATCCCCCGCCGCCAACTCACAGAGAGTTCCCTCTGACCTCCGAGGAACTTGCCTGTTCCTCTTGATCGTCCGCGGTGCCTCTCTTTCTTCCCCATCCCTACAGGACGGTTCCGGTCTGAAGACCCATCGGCAGTGGTTCGGCAGCCGGGGTTTTCACAGCGCTCATCAGAGCCTGCTATTTCCCCAGCTGTCTCGCTGTGACGCCAAACCGGAAGTCAGCTAAAGAATTTCCTACAGCATTGTTTCTCTTCCTTCCCACCAAATATCAGAGGCTTGTGGGAGAGCATCTGCCAATCCCCAGTCCTTAAATGTGCTAGGGTTGGGAGTCTGAGCTGGGGCTCTAGGTTTCTAGATCACCCTCTTTCAAGATTCACTCAAAGGTTTCCACAGGTTCCACCTGTGGTTAGAAAGCAGTATTGCAAGCTAACTCTGCCACAGCCTCAAGTTTGATCCTGACCAGCTCAAGGTTGACTCAGCCTTCCATCTTTCTGTGGTTAGTAAAATGAGGATACAGATTGTTGGGGGCAATATAATGATGTAAATAGCTCAAAGAGTGCTGTATAGCACTATGGAGCAGTATAAGTATAGGTGGGATAAGCGGTCTAAGAGCTATTGCTATTAATCAACAGGGATTAATAAAGTTGTGAAAAGGGGATCTGAATTTTGGTGGAGCCGAGTTTATAAAGACAGGTGGGGTGACCCATTACAGAACGACAGCTTCCTCCCCTTCATGGCATGTTTTTTCCCACACTTTCTAGCTCTTAACTAGCCTATTTAAACATGGATTTAGCTTTCTTCTGAAGGAGCCTTAAACTGATGATTAAAAGTAGTCCTGATAAATAAATTACAAGCAGGAAAATAGGTTGTGGAGTGGACATGGGAGTCCCCACTCATATGATACCTACACGGTGTGTGCTGTCTCTTAATTGGACTGATCCCATTTTCAAAGCCAAGTTCCCAAAGTAAAACTCTCCTGGCTGGTTTCCCGTTTAAGGGAAGAACTATTTTAAAACCAGAACTGAGGATGCTGTGAGTCAGCTTCAGATCTGAATTGGAGATGAGATGAAGGCAAAATCATAATGGCATGACAAAAAAAACCCTCCTCTGTAAAGTTCATTCTGTGATTAAGTGCAAGTGAGGAAAGGCCATGAGTCAGTGGGAGTACAGGAGATTGCAAAGATTATTTCTGCTTCTTTAAGGTAGGGACAAATTTTATATCTGGAAATTTGGAATGCTTTGATCGTTTCTGACTTCAGTAGAAGAATTTTCTGAACTACTGAAGTAGTCTGAGGTCTTAAAATTCTTTAGGAAATTATTTTGCTTTCTTTCCTATGCCATATTTTTCAAAAGCAATTTAAAAGGAAATATAAAAAGAGGAAAATTTAGCTTTGGAATTTTTGGCTTTCAGACCATGTCAATTAAATCCACATCTTAATATATTTAATTATTGTCAGGGTAAAAATGTTACCTTAAGCATTACTTTTTTTCCTAATCTATCTGGAGAAGCAAGATGTTTCCAAGCACCATTAACCAATTTTCCACTTACTCTTTTAGGAATAATGCAGTCATTGAATTGTAAATCGCCCAGGATTATTTATTAAGATGGGCGGTTATAAAATCATACAAATAAATAAATAGAAATGAATAAACCAATTATATTAGCTGTGACTTGTATTACCAAAATACCATCCTGCTTGTGTTCTACAGGTGGTTCTCACTTAAGGACCATTAGTGCAGCACCATTCCAACTTAGGATCGGAACAAGTGATAGTCAATGACTGGTCCTCATATTTATGATAGTCACAGTATCCTCAGGGTCATGTGATGGTGATCCAGGCATTTAGTGACTAGTTTAAAGTTATGAAGAGAACTTTAGAATTCAGTGTCATAAGTATCTATTCATTTTTGGCTATCACAAAGCTGTTGCTGTTGAAAAGATAGGTAGCATGCATCTTGCCATCATGCATCAGTCTAAAGATAATCTAAATTGTTTAACACCACACTTAAGACCCATATTAGATATCACCCTTCAGAAAAGCAAAAGAAAAAACCTTTAAGGGCTCCAATTATTTCATTATTTTTTCTGTAAAGAATATTATATACCTATGCCCACACAAACATTAGCAATAGTAAACTTTATAGACAGAGGAAAAAAAACAACATTTATCCTATGAAGTCTATTATACACAGTCCCACTTAGGAACAGGAGGTCCCTGTGTGAGTCCTTCCTTCTCACTTGAATAAAAGATGTACATTATTTTTTTTGTTAAACTGCTTTTTGTTACAAGACCGGAGGAGCCAAGAAGATATTTCCTAAGACAATATTACTTCTGTACCAAATAATTGACTAAATTATACTTAGAAATAGATAAAATATCACGTGTCTGTGAAAAGTTTAAAATCTATCATCACGTGACTCAACTGCTCATTGATTTCAGAATTGATAAGCCACTGAAAAGAGGATGTTAACGTTTTAGCCATTAAAATGGCATTGATGAAAGGGTCCATTTAAGCTACTACTTTTAAATGCTCTCTCTTAAAACTTAAAAGCTTGTATATATTATTTTTAAAAACACTTTAAAAATAATATATACAAGCTGAGAGATTTTTCAGATAAAGAAGTGTCTAATAGATATGAAAGTAGAAAAAAAGCATACTATCTTGAATGATACTTTCTAGGAGATCCATTTTTTGTCTGAACTATCCTTTTTTCTTTAAAAAAAAGGGGGGGGACTTGATATATTGTAACTATTCAATGAAGGGCAAACTAACCATCAAGTACAAAGTTACTAATTGGACCAGATGATTGCATAATTATGCAGCTGTGCATAAAGATGGCTATTTTCTAAGAATTTTCTGAAATATTTTGCTTTCAGAAAAAAATACTTGCTTTACTGGCTTCTTTATTTTCTGGAATGGCCAATTTCTATTACTGAATCTTTGCTTAAAATAAGAATACTAGCACACTGACTTTCCTGCTATACAGCACTCTTATCTACTATTTTATAGTGATATTTTATTTGGCTAATGTCAATTCCTCTATTTGAGGATTTTTAAAACTTGCTGGCCTGGAATCTAGATGGAAATGAGTACAAAAATCAGCATCTTTCTTTCTATGCAATATGTGTTTACTGTAAAATAAATCTTGGTGATTGTCTAAGGTTTGTTGCCAGTTACACCAATATAGTATTTTCCTTATATAAATTTACAGTGAACCTTCACTTTGAATACTGTTATTCACTATGCTTCAAAAAGCATACTATTGAATAGTAAAAATGTAAAAATGTAGCTCCTTTGGAGGAAAGATTCTTGGCTTAGAGCACGGGTGTCAAACTCAATTGTGTCATGTGATGTATCATGACATATCACAATGTTTTTTGTCTGTGGAGCCAGGGTAGGCGTGGCCTGTGCATGACACATCTGAGCGGGCAGCCATTTTGGCAGGCCTGGCTTGGAGCAATGTTATGTAAAGGGAGATACGATCTGAAGAGATATGCAGTAGAGAGTAAAGATATGCTATGTATGAATTCATACATAGTATGAAAAATGGGCAACAAGTAGGTTCTTCTATTGAAATTAAATGCAGTGGGTTTTAGTACCAAAATAAATTTTTTGTACAATTTATAATTAAAATATAAGAATTTACTGCCATCAGATATGATAGTAATAATTAATCCAGATGATTTTAAAATGGGGATGAATGAATAAATTCATGGAGGAGAGAACTATCAGTAGTTAGTAATCTTGCTAGCAGTATAGTAACCACCTGTGAATTAATGTATCATACCTTAAATAGCTGGAAAAACAATAGAAGAGAATTATTGTATTGTCCTCAGTTATTTGCTTTTAAGTTTCTTAAATGCATCTGTTTGGGGACTCGTAATAGATTCCTTCCCCCAATCCATTTAGAGCTGTTATCTCCTGTATCCATGTGGTAATGCACATATATAGATTTATCTTTCAGAACAAAAAGATATTGTATGGTATTTGTATCTCATGTTTCTGTATTCCAGTTTCCAAATTGAACACTTAAGAATTTCAAAGAATAATTGTCATAATAAAATAAAATCCTAATGGCAGAGAATAGTACCTATATTCAGTGATGAAATCCAATTTTTTTTACTACTACTTCTGTGGGCATGGCTTGGTGGGCGTGATGTGGCTTGGTGATCATGGCTTGGTGGGCGTGGCAGGGGAAGGATACTGCAAAATCTCCATTCCCTCCCCACTGTTGGGGGAGGGATATTAAAAATCTCCATTCCCACTCCACTCTGGGCTCAGCCAGAGGTGGCATTTGCTGGTTCTCCAAACTACTCAGAATTTCCGCTACCGGTTCTCTAAACTACTCAAAATTTCTACTACCGGTTCTCCAGAACCTGTCAGAACCTGCTGGATTTCACCCCTGCCTATGTTGCTATTTTTATTTAAGGTATCCCCTTGATAAAATTACAAGTTTTCTTACTTGATAGAATTCTTGAACTAAATTAGAACTACAGTACTACAGATTTTAAGATTGCATAGCTCTAAATTATATAAAGCAGCCATTGAGTCTCATTAATTCTACAAACGATTTTATTGTCCTAGGAACCCAGAATATTGGAGAGTTGTGATTGGTTTACATCATCTTTATAAACCTCATTCTCACACCATAAGTCATCGGGTGAAAAGTATCATTGTCCATTCTGGTTTCAAGTGGGACAGCTATGAAAATGACATTGCAATGTTTAAACTTGTGAAGCTTGTTGAGTACAATAAATATATTCAGCCTATCTGTTTACCTCAGAATTCTCATCTAGTGACTGATAAGAATCCATGTTACATAAGTGGATGGGAAAACAGAAAGAAAAAAGGTAATTATTTAATCTTTCTGCAGATAACATTTCATGAACTCAGAAAGCTTTCATATTTTAATTCGAGTAATTTAACTTACGGTACTATGGAGCAGGGACCACTAAATTCATAATTTTAAATCCCAGACCACTAATATGATCTGCCTAATGACCAGCTGAGTGGGTGCGGCTAGGTGGTCATGTGACTGGGTGGATGTGGTCAACTTGATGTCACTCACATCAAGGGGCGCCTCACCCAGGGGTGAAATGCTCCCGGTTCAGACCGGATCGCCTGATCCGGTAGTGATGGCGGCAGGTGGTTCGGAGAACTGGTAGCAAAAATCCTTGCAACCCCCCCCCCCCCCACAGACCCACCTGAGCCCCATGATCATCAGAGGCTTTTTTTTTTTTTTACTTATAAAAGCATTTTTTCTAAAACCTCTTCCGACGAAAAAATGCTTTTAAAAGTTAAAAAAAAAAGCCTCTGATGATCGCGTGGCTCAGCTGGGATTGTCAGAGGCTTTTCAAAGCATTTTTTTCTGCAACCTCTTGGCTGAAGAGGTGGTAAAAAAAAATGCTTTGAAAAGTCTCTGATGATGCCAGCTGAGTTGCCTGATTAGTAGAGAGGCATTTTTTAAAAAGCCTCTCTGACGATCCCAGCTGAGTTGCCTGATTGGCAGAGGATTTTCAAAGCATTAGAAAAAATGCTTTGAAAAGTTTTTTTTTAAAAAAAAAAAGTTGGCCACGCCCACCCAGTTACATTATACCCACCACCACCAAGCCACGCCCACAGAGCTGATAGTAACAAATTTTACATTTCACCCCTGGCCTCACCGGCCTCTATTCGCCCCTCCTGCCAGCCACTCCTTGCCTCCCCGCCCAGGCTCCTTGGGGCTCCAACAGGAAGCAGTTGTTGGAGCTAAGCAGCCACCACGAGAAAGAGTTGGCAAAACAGCTGGCTCAGTTCAAATTGGATCTGACCAAGAAGGAAGCTCAGCAGAAGCACCTCATATGCTTTCCAAGCAGAGGGAAGACCTGCAGGAGTGCAAGGCCAGGAACTGGCACCTGGAGGCTCAGCAGGCTGAGAAGGTCAGCCAGTTCCAGGCCATGATGCAGTCCCACTGGAACAAGGCCCTCCAGCTCCTTGCCACCAGCGGCACTTCCCTCCAGCCTTCACCCAAAGCTTCGCACCAGGAGGCTGAAGCAGACCCCAAGTTGGAATTTCTGCCCCCTCCAATCTGTACAAAAAGATCCCGAAGGGGAAGACTCTCTGCAGCAACACAAATGTTCATTGCATGTATCCGGCCCAGGACCCCTGATTTAGTGCAATATAAAAAAATGCAAATAATTTTTCTGCAGACCACCAACATTTTCTCCCGGACCACCAGTGGTCCACGGACCACCAGTTGGTGACCGCTGCTATGGAGAACAGAATTGGGCAGTATTTAAGGGGTTGGGAGCTATGCTTCCTTTCAGCCTACAAGAAAGCATGTGATGCCATCGCTAGGAGAGATTGGCTGATTCTTAGTCCTTCAGGGCAGTTCAGAGGTGCATATGGGAGCAGGAGACCAGTAGAAAACAAATTACTCCTGCTGCTGACATTAAAATCCCTGAATCTCCATCCTTGTCTGTCTGCATTATTAATATAACTTTCAGCCTTTGCCTACACATCAAACTAAATTAAATTTCATTATCTGCTGAATTACTTCATATTATAGATGTGAAGCAACTTTTCTTTTGGCCAATGATTCAAGCAAATTGATATGAGTGCTTTCATATTAGGGCTATGAAATGTTATGGAGTATAAAATTATAGGCTAAGAAAGAAAACCCAGGAGAATGAATAATTTTCATATAATCTACATTAAATCATATGTATTTAATAATGTTCCTTTCCATTATATTAAATATTTGTTGACAAGTTCTTGAGATGCTCTTGTGCCTGCATCTTTTTCAGGCATATTTGTTTTAAATAAATTGCCCCAGGAATCACGAGTCTCACTATTTTGTTCTGGTTTCCTGATATAATCAACATCAAGAAATTATCACATGTCCCATAGAGTCAGCTGAACAGATCAATCTGTTGTTTTCTAGGTAAAGAGAAGATTAGTAGACTTAAGACTTCTGGGAAAAAATGGTGACTTGAATCTACTGAGTACACTGGTACGCTGAGAGCGGAGCTGATGACTGCAATGGAATGAAGAGCTGGTGAAGGGACAGGCTGTTCAGGTTTCCTCTCTGAACAAGAGAGCACTTTAGAATGTCCACATATGCTCCAGACAATTGCTTCTTGCAAGGAGATCACCAGCCAACAATCTCCAGGGGGTTTAAAGCTTTGGGAGATGAGGGTTTGTCATCTTCGCCCAAGCTGGCACTTTTTCAAAAGATACCGGATTTCCTTTCTTAATCACTTTCGGAAATTGCTTATTAACTGTTTTTCAGATATTAAGAACCTAAAGAAAGACAAGTTTTTCTACACTGAAGTGAGTTTCCTTCACTCCTTAGCAGAAGATTTAAATACAAATATAAGTAGTTAAAAAAACCTTTGGGTAATAACCTGCAAAAGGATGATTAGAATATGGATTTTTAGAAGTTATAAATGAACTAAGAGTCCAAATTGTTTTGAAATAAAATTTTTAAACTAATTTTAAGAATCCTTCTCATGGGAAAATGCTGCTGTTTTTGTATGGATATTATGAGAGGTGATTTTGAAGGTTGGACACTAGAGAGAACCAGAAGGAACTAAAGGACAAGAACACTTAAATCTGAATGGAACAAAATACTTTAATATTGGATGTATTGAAGGATGAATCCAGAAGTTGATTTTAAGAGTGCCTGCCATTACAGATAGACCTCAACTTATGACCACAATTGAGCCAAAAGCTCTGTTGCTAAGCAAGGCAGTGAAATGAATTTTGCCCCATTTTACAATTTTTGCACAGGTGAATCACTGCAGTTGTTAAATGAATGATGCTGTTGTTAAGCGAATCTGACTTTCCCCATTGACTTTGCTTGTCAGAAACTGACTGGGAAGGTCACAAATGATGTTCACATGACCCTGGGACAGTGCAACTGTTATAAATATATGCCAGTTGCCAAGCACCCAAATTTTGATCATGTGATGTTGCAACAGTCATAAATCTAAAAATGATCATAAGTTCACTTTTTCAGTGCCATTGTAACTTCAAATGATCACTAAATGAATTGTTGTAAATCAAGGACTACCTATATAGATAGCGTTTGGAAAAATGGTATGGAAGAGGAGATGTTTTATTGGCTATGACTGAGATTGATTTGAAAGTGGATTTAAAAATCATTGGCTATAGGAATGGTATGGAAGGAGATGCTATACTGTAAATACAAATTAAACTGACTGCTATAGTGCCATACAAATTAACAAACAAAAACTGGATAACTTTTTTATATTGGATTTACAAAAGAAACTTGTTAAAGTTTGAAGAATTTTATGAGAAGGAATAAAGAAAAAATGAGGCAAAATAAAGTTCTAGGACTATTATTTCAGGGGATTGTTATAAGTAAAGGGAAGGAATATAAAGTTAATTTATTTGATCAAGGTTAAAAATGGACTTTTGCTCATCAGAACTCAATGATGAGACACTCAAGATTTGGTGGAAGATAACGAGATATGGGGAGAAGAAAACTTGTTGAATTTTACAGGAAGGTGGTAAGTTACTAAAATAGTTTATACTTGCTTCAAGGGGAAGTAAATTCTATATTTTTCTTTTTTTAGCTATATTATTTTTTTTCCATTTTCTATTTTTTTTCTTTTTTCCCTTTCTATTTTTCTTTTTCTAGTTTGTATTAATTCTTATCTTTTTAATAATAGCATTCAGTAACATTATTAACAGTAAGAATAACCTGTAGTTGGTGAAATGTACTTTGATTTAGGCCAGTGATGGCAAACCTTTTCAGCACTGAGTGCCCAAACCAGAATGCCCGCGCATGCCAGAGTGCTGGAAACCCAAAGGCCAGTTGGCCGGTGTATGCAAAGAACAGCCAGCGACAGCACACGTGCATGTGCCATAGGTTCGCATCACAGCTATAGGCTATAGTTGCTATCAGGTTCCAAGTAATGCATCCATTACAAATCGAACTCCGAGGCATTGTATTTCCTCAAAGAACAAATTTATTTAGATATATCATCTTCACAAACTAAATTCATGTCAGAGTAACCAAGGATACAAACAATCCCACATCCCAATCAAATTCAGGCTTGACAGTTGCCTTTTGGTTTCAAATTAGAGCATTACTTAACACAAGTCCAGAGGGAACATAGTTAAAGATGTAAATGTGATATTAAAGTTGTACTCCTAAAATATAACATTCAATATTTTTAAAGGCTTTGGCATTATCAAGCCTGTTTTTTGGGAAAGAAACTAATTTTATGTAGATGGAATTAAACTAACACTCTTGCTGTTAAGGAACAGAGTCAAGATTAAAAACATGAATTTTTATTATAAAGTTAATAAAACTTTATTTATTTAGAGAAAGAAAATAGAAAAGAGTAAAAAATAAAGGGAAAGAGGAAAGGAAGACAAAATATGTAAAGAAGTCACTCTCAAACTTCATCACAGGTATAAACAAATTTAGTGATTCTTCACCTCCACTAAGATTCCAATTAACCAACATTATATTCCTTTCTTTTATTTCTAACAGTCTTAATCTTCATTCAAACATTGTCTTAAGATTTGATTTTTCTTCAATTCTTTTTATTTCATCACAAAGAATGCTTTAGGTCTTTTACATACTTGTTTTTTAAATTCAGTAACAAAAAAATATTTAAGTCACTTGGTTCATCATTTGTATTTCCCTTTTGATTTTTAAAATACAATCAGTTTCTTTTGTATAACCAGTGAGAAATCCTTTTCCAAGTTATTCTTTTGGCCTGTCATTTACAAATCCACTTTCAGTATCAGCTCTAACTTATTAGATAAAATTTGTTTTGCATTTCTTCAATTTCATTTTTTAAACATAGTTTAACCATTGAGGCAGACACATGACTGACACTATTGATATTGTGGCTATTAAACTCTGGTTCTATTCTTCAAGAGTCTCTGTTAATATTTTGAATGTTATGTTTTGCATCGTTTTAATTGACACAAAAGGTAGGCTTGTGGTTTTCCCCCCTCTGCCTAGAATCTTTAGTTCCCTCTAGTGTCCAGTTTTTAAAAACGTAAAATTACTTATCATTATGTCTCGCAAAACTAGAAAATATCTATTTCCCATGGGTTCTTGGTTCTTTATAATTAATTCCAAAATCTTATTATGTTTCTATATTCCCAATTTATCTGCCCCTTGTTCATTTATAACTTCTGAGATCAGTCTTATTTAGTTTTTGCTGTTTATTACAAATTCCTTAAATTTTTAAACTTATACAATTAAAATCTTTCATTCAGGATTGAAGCAAACTCACCTGGTGTTTTCAAACTTATCAGTCCAAAGGTCTCTTAATAGTTTATTTTATTTATTTATTTTATTAATTATATTTATATACCGCCCTTCTCCCGAAGGACTCAGGGCAGTGAACAGCCAAGATCAAATACATAAATATAAAACTTAAAAAGAATTTAAAACCAGATTAAATACTTTGGCCCACAATTAAAAACATCCCATTAAAATCCAATTTATAAGTTTAAAAGTAATTAAAAAGCAATTTTGGAAAGAGAATAGAAAATGAGGTTAGTAGTGTCCTTTAAAAGGTGCTGACCGCAGTTGCAATCAAGATGGCTATTCCTATCCTCTTCCATTGGTCACACCTGCAAGATAAGAGGAGCAGTTGTCTGGAATATATGTGGGTGATCTCCTATCTTCTCCTTCACAGAGAAGACAGGAGCAGGTCTATTGTACTCACCAATTCTTCATTCTTTGCCACAGTTGTCAATTCTGCTTCTGCAAAAATGTCTTCAGTCAACCATTCCTCTCCTGGAAGCCAAATTTTATTTTTATTTTTCTAAAAAGGAGATTATCATATGTTTTTATAACATTTGAAATATATTGCTAAATTTAAGGATGAAATAATCTTATATGGAAATTACCTGGATATTTTTAATATTTTTTAATTATTATATGTTTCATTTATTTTAATGACTACAATGTACGTAGGTGGGGGTTCTATAGAAAAAATTGGATGGGTGAAAAAAATGCCTTTTTTCGTCATCTAATGATTTGAAGGCTTAGCACATTATGCTTATAAAATAGCATTGGATCTAAAGCTGCCAATATTCTGTATTTTTCACAAGGCTTGCGCTTGTCTTACTATACAATTAGCAACAGGGAATCTGTAGCATTTAAAGATTTAACAACTTTATGATGGTACTAGTTCTTATGAACTGCAGTTCCCTCTATCTGATATTCCAAATTATGTCCTTAGAAAAGAGTTTGTGTCTATATATGCTGTTTGTAGAATAGTAAGCATGATTAAGAAAAATGAAGTAAAATAAATGTAAATAGTGATAATTACCTTCTGGTAAGTAGCTTTTGACCTTTTTGTAATGCACATTGCCTAGCATTCAGTGGGGTAACTGAAGTCTTTGAACACTTATTCCATAACAGACTTGTTAGTTTTAAAGGTACAATTTTTTTACTGCTCTTTTGGAAACTCTTTTGGAAAGAATGCTGAACATATTTTGTGTTTTCTTTACAGGCAAAATTGAAACTGTATTACAAGAAGCTCAAGTAATTACTGTTCCACTATATGTCTGTAATAAATATGAACGGTATAAAGAAAGATTATCAACTGATATGATTTGTGCTGCCTCACCAACAAATAGCTGTATGGTAAAATAAAAATATTTTTATAAGTTTTAATTGTATAATATATAGTGTCATTTGGTATTTTGCAGTGCCTTAAATTGAATAATGAGTAGATAAATTAAAAGAATTTATGAATTCATGTATTTTTTAAAGAACTTTATTTAATAAGGAACATCTCAAAGTAATTTGTTCTTTTAAATTAACTATAGGTAGCTCTTGACTTATGACCACAATTGAGGCCAACATTTCTGGTGCTAAGTGAGACATTTGTTAAGTGAATTTTGTCCCATTTTACGACCTTTCTTGCTGCATTTGTTAAGTGAAGCACTGTTGTTTCACTTTGTTAAATGAATCTGACTTCCCCCTTGACTTTGCTTCTCAGATACTGCAACTTTTGTAAATGAGTGAGTCAGTTGGCAAGTATCTAAATGTTGATCGTGTGGCCATGGAGATGATGCAGTGGTTGAAAGTGTGAAAAACAGTCATAAGCCACTTTTTTCAGTGCCGCTTTAACTGAATAGTCACTAAACAAATTGCTGTAAGTGGAGGACTCAACTCTCAGCCTTGAATTGGCTTTGTATTGAACACAGATGGGATCAAATACTCTTATTTCTTATAGTCTTATATAGGTTCAATTCACTGTTTTAAAACTTATTGGTAACCCTTTGTATTCATATAAAATTAAGTTTGAAAATATTGAATGCAGAGGAACTTCTGACATGAAAATTTTGTATTTTCATGGATTTTTTATCTACTTTTTAATGCTTTTTGAAGTGTTCGTGTTTGTAGGATTTTTAATTTTTCTGTACATATTTTTTTCTTAAGGACTTTTTTCACAGCCCCTATATTGTTTTTAACATAATTTTCATAACAATTTTGTAGTCTATGATAAATGTGTAATATGCCAACAAAATTGTATCAATATTTTGAAATTGAATAAATAATTGAATTTTTTTTAAATGTATTTTTTGTTAGCTGAAGGCCTGTGTAAATAACACTCTATCTCAGTGATGGTGAACCTTTTCGGCATCGATCAGCTGGCCAGAGTGCATGCTCACGCAGGAAAACGGAAGACCAGCTCTTCTAGTTTTCAGCACTGCCACATGCAAAAACGCCAGCTGATTGTCGCGCACATATGCATGCCAGAAACCCAGAAGAGGAACGGGTGAAGTCATGCGTGCCAGGTGACATGGCTGTGTGCCACTTCGGGCATGCATGCCATAGGTTCGACATCACAACTCTATCTGAACCAAGCGGAAGATTCCTATGTAGTATTTCAGAACTTCAGAATAACATGAACATTTTTTCTATTCCAGGAAGATAGTGGTGGACCTTTGATGTGCTATTTCCCAAATGTATCCAAATACTATCTGATAGGTATCACCAGTTTTTCCAGTGGCTGTAATCAAGATGATTATCCAGGTCTCTATACACGTACAATTAGCTACAGAAAATGGATAGATTTTAATCTTCATGACAAAACTACAACCGCAATGAACATCCAAAGTATTGTTGTTCTTTTAACTATGGAATGGATAACCTTTCACCTTCTATAAATAGACACATTCTTAGGTGGACTATTTAACATTTCTGCTTGTTTATTTAAACTATGTCAACTAATTGAGTTTGTAATTTATGACTTTACAATCCCAGCAGCACTTAAAATATATTTCATTTGTAATTTTAGTTATCAGTCACATTATTAAATATTTTTGTATTGTTGTATTAAATGCCTGAAATTTTGTTATGCTGTATGATATAAATTAACTGATGTTATCTTTTGGAATATGCAGTAGAAATCAATCACTAAGTTGAAACTTAAGTTACTTCAAAGTAGAAGTATGTTGCAACTCCAAATATTTCTATCTTGTTGCTGTAGAGCATATGGAAGAATGGATCATAGCATATTATTACACAGATAAATTCCTCCCTTTATATCCATGGACTTCTGCCACATCAGACAACACTCATGGATAAAACAAGCTTATTTGGAGAAAACATATACTGGATCCAATCCAAAATCACCTTTGAAGTACCAGCTTTTACATTTAACTAATTTAGACAAAAAATTATAAAGACCTAAAAATAAGTTTCTGGTAGGAGTCCTACTGTGTTTTCCCAAAAATAAGATAGGGTTTTATTTTCTTTTGAACCCCGGAATAAGGGCTTGGCCTTATTATCGGGGTGGTGGTGGTGGTGTCTTATTGTTTTGGGGGTGGAGGAGGCAGCAAATGTGGAACTGGATGTCCCATCGCTGCTGTCGCCTCCCTTCCGTTCTTCGTGCCAACCAAGCAGCTGGCCGCTGTTTCCCTGACGTATTCCGCCACCGCCGCTGCCTCGTGGAGCAGGACTCTGCAAGGCTTGTTGTGCCGTTGCACGCACAAACTGCAGCACCGCCGCCAGCTTCATCATACTGGCACAGCTGGCGTCCTGCCGGTATGTCGAACTTCGCAGCAGTGCTGCCGTTCTTGTGTGCAATGGCATAAACCTTGCAGAGTCCTGCTCCACAAGGAGACGGTGGCAGCACAATGAGTCTCAGAAAGATTCGTTTCTGGCAGGTGGGGTGGGAGAGAAGCGAGACACATGGAGCGAGACATGGCTCCCCTTGCCGTCTCTTCTCCCCCTCTGGCCGGGCATGGCAGGGCTCCTGCCCCTTCCTTAGCCACCTGCCCCCTTTAGGGTTGCAATTTGGGGGTGGCAGGTGGGGCAGGTGAGAAGCTGGATGCGCGTCTTACCTTTCAAGCTCCATTGCGTTCCTCGCCATTGTGTCCAGGGAAACACATTGTAAAAAAGAATTACTGAACTCACGAGAAGGGTTTTTTTTTATGTGTTTCATGTATGGTACAACAATAAATTTATTCAAATTCAACAATTTACTGTATTCAAATTCAACAATATTTTCAAAATGAACAATTTACCGTATTCAAATTCAACAATATTTTCAAATTCAACAATCTTTTTTAAACTGAACAATTTATTCCAATATGGTAGTCATATCATCTTCCACATCATCAAAACTGTCCACATCCTGAATTCCATCCTCTGTTTCTTTAACTGGTAAGTCCATTTGGCTCAACACCATAGGTCCCAATCTTTCATGCTTGGCAATAGAAGTATCCTTAAAGGAGTACCTCCTGTCCATGTATCCTGCTCTTATTGCATTTGCAACACAGTCGTCAGTTATTTTTTCCCAGGCATTCTTCACCCAGTTGACAAGTTCTGGAAGGCCAGGCTTCACAAAATTACTGTTCTTGTTTCGTATCATTCGGTGTTCTATATATTGATTTATTTCCACATGGAGATGGTCTTTAAATGGCTTATTAATACCAATATCCAATGTCTGCAGGTAGCCAGTCATTCCTGCAGGAATCATTATTTGATCAATCCTGCGTTGAGCAAGAAATTTTTTCATGTCCTTGGCACGGTGAGTGCTGGCTGAATCCCACACCACCATGCCTCTTTGGCCACCTCGCAAAACAAGTGGGAGCATTAGCTCCACCCACTTCTTGATAGCTGCTTGGGTACACCAGGCCTTTTCAGTTTCAAGGACGTAAATCCCTGAAACCCTTTTGATTTTGTCCTTCTTTCCTTTGCTTATTATTAGCGGTGTGACTTTGGTTCCATCCATCCGAATAGCCAATATGCACGTCACACATGCACTTTCATATCCCGTGGAGGGAATATAAATTGATGTGGCACCCATCTGGTCGATGGTGGTTTGAACCCCTTGGCCCATAAAGACTGCTGTTTCGTCCATAGCTATAATGTTCGATAGCTGGTACTTGGCAAAATCAATGCCATCAACGAACGACTTGAATGCAAGTGCCCGTTTGACAAGTTCACCATCTTCCAGCTCGAACAACGAGGTGGATCTCCTCAGAGACAGTTCATATCGCTGAAGGAAGCTATCCAGCCAGTGTTGAGAGGCTTTGAATTGTTCCTTGGAAATTTGTAATTGTGGTGCCATTTCAAGGGCAAATGCTTGAATATCAGCCCTGTATACAGCTAAAGCCTTTGCTCTCCTGTCAGCGATCCATTCAGAGATACTGTCTTCAAGTTCAGGAAATAATGGTTGCCGACCTGATCCACACTTGCGCTTCTTGCCATTTCCCTCCTGCACCTGTTGACTGAGGTTATCGTAATCTACTCTCCATTTTCGGACCATACGTAGATCCAACATCTTCTCTTTGCAGAAAGCTGCCAGATTCTTGCCGTGAGAATCTTCCACGATTCCTTTCTTGAATTCCACAGAGTAGCTCTTTCTTTTTGAATTCCTCTTGTCTGGGGGTCAAAATAAAAGTCATTTTAGATCATTAAATCCATTAATCCAAAACCCTGGGGGTGTGATGGTTGGGATTTGGCATTGTGGTTTCCCTGTGTGGGGGTTTAGGGTTTGCGATTGTTTTTTCCCCAGTCTGTGGGTTTAGGGTTTGCAATTGCGGTTTCCCTGTGTATAGGAAATGGATCTCTCTTTCCCTCCCTCCTTCTCATATCTATGTTTCTCTTTTTCCTCTCTTCCTTTCTTTCCTTTCTCTCTCCCCATTCTCCTTCTCATATCTGTTGTTTCTTTTTTCTCCCTTTCTTTCTCTCCCCATTCTCCTGCTCATATCTGTTTTTTTTTCTCTCTCATCCTCTTCCTCTCTTTTGTTCTGTCTCTCCCCCCATTCTCTCTCTCATTTGTTTTGAGTCTCACAGACTCATTTCTGGCAGGTGAGGCAGGGAGAAATGAGACGCGGCTCCCCTTGCAGTCTATTCTCCCCACCCCCTTGCCGGGCATGGCAGGGCTCCTGCCCCTTACTTAGCTGTCCGCCCCCTTTAGAAACGCAATTTGGGGGTGGCAGGTGGGGCGGATGAGAAGCGGGACACAGGTCTTACCTTTCAAGCTCCGTCATGTTTCTCGCCATTGTGTCCAGGGAAACATGTTGTAAAAAAAAACATGAGTTCAATAAAGTTTTTTTATTGGAGGAACACCACAGAGCTTGAAAGATAAGACGCGTGTCCCGCTTCTTGCCCGCCCCACCTGCCACCCCCAAATTGCATCCCTAAAGGGGGGGTGGCTAAGCAAGGGGCAAGAGCCCTGAGACTCGTCGCACTGCCGCTGCATGGAGAACTCTGCAAGGTTTGCGCCATTGCATGCACAAACAGCAGCACTGCCATGAGGTTTGACATAGCAGCAGGACGCCAGCTGTGCCGGTATGATGAAGCTCATGGTGGTGCTGCAGTTCGTGTGTGCAACAGCACAACAAGCCTTGCAGAGTCGTCCTCCACGAGATGGCGGCAGCAGGACTCGGCCGGCGCAAAGAACAGGCAGGGGAGAGCATGCTCCCCCCCTTCCCCCCCCCTCCGGCCTCACCTCCTCACCTCATGTTGTTTGCACAGCAAGCAACCCACAGAAATGGTGCGACTGGCTATGCATGCGTGTAAGTAGTTGGGGGGGGGTTATTTTGGGGAGGCAGCTTATTTTATCTCATGCACTGATTATACAGAAAGGTCTTAGTTTCGGGGAAACATAGTATAAACATTACACGTTGAATTTATTAATACATATGAATGAAAATGGTAAGAAAGAGTGTAGAATATGAGAATATGAATTACTGCATGAAAGGATATGTGTCATGAATGGAATATATGAGTATATGTGAAGGCATGGCACTGAATAAGTGAATAGCATTGTTCAAATTAGTGACAAAAATATTTTGAGCGTTTAAACTTAAAACATCACATGAAAGACCACCAGAGAACAATCCAATATTAATTTTTTAAAAAGCTGTAGAACAGTCTGCAGAACAATAGAAAAATTAACATCTAATGGTCCTATGCTGAGATATTCTTGTACCTTTAATTTTTGTCTAAATTGCAATATTTGTCATTGATCAATATGAGGGTTGAATGAAAAGTATGCCTCCAGCTCCCTAACCTTAATTTATATATGGATATTTTAATTAAAAAATGGAAAATAATTATTGAAATAAACTATTTTATTTGTATTTCCTGTATACCTCTACACATAATCACCACTATTTTCTACATAATTTGGCCAATGATGGACGAGCTTCCTAAAGCGTGCTTCTTCAACCAGATCTGAAGTTCTTTCTTCCTCCATACTCAGTTACCTATGAAAGTGGAAGTTGCATGGTGCCAAAACTGGTCTGCATAGTGGATGGGGTTAAAGAGTGAAATCAAATTTGCAATTGCCTCCTGGGTGATGAGAGATTTAGTGCTGTCATGCTGCAGCAATATTTCCTTTTGTGTACTTCCAAATTCTACTTAACCAATTTCAAACTGTTGAATGTTATAATACAACATTCTGTGTTGACAGTAATGCCAGTTTCAAGGAAATCCATGTGAATAATACCTCCCCCAAAACTTATTAATTTTCCTGCCAAGGCCTTGGTTTATTTCTGCAATATTGATTTTGACAAGTCACAAAAGGTGAACACATGACCCTGAGACACTGCAGCCATCATAAATATAATCCATGTATCTGAATTTTGATCACATGGCCATGGGGATGCTGCAATGGTTATAAGTCACCTTTTTCAGTGCTGTAACTGAACTGTCACTAAATGAGCTATTGTAAATTGAGGACTAACTGTATTCAGTCCGTTTGGGTCTGGTGTCTTTCCAATTTTAATCTTTATAACTTTAATATCCTGAATTGTAATTGGCTTGCTTAATACTTGTCTGTGTTCTTCAGAAACTTCAAATTCTGAATTTTCAATGTTTTCAA